TAGCAGTAGCAGATTTGTGTTCTTTAACAGCACCAGATTTGTGGAGGTCTATTACATTATCGCCTTCCTTTTGTCCCTCCAGAAAGCATAGTTTAAAGTTAACTGTCCTATGCAGCATTTAAGGAACCATGCCTATTTAAGGAAGCTAGCCTGCTTTGTTCACTTTGTTTCCTCCCATTACCCCTTCCCAACTCCTGAACTGGATAGGTACATTAGTTTCATACTACTTTACAGTATCAAAGAGTGAGGTAACTCATTCTAGGACTTACGGATAACTTATCTTGATTAATATGTTTTATTTAACACTGCTGCAGGGAACTTACAAGCTTCATCTATCCTGCACATTGATTCAGTTGAAGTTAGCATGTGCTTTATTTAATCCAGGTACTGAAGATGAGCTTTCCACATGGCTGTTGAGACATTCCTCCCCCCTTGCTTTCAACCTGCATGGGAAAAGGGAGTTCTGCCTAGCTTATACAGTCAGCCTGTGGAAGGCCTGTTCCTGAAAATAACCACTTGCCATGTGACAGCAAGAACTATCCCTCCTTTCTCGAATGGCAGGATCTCTGGCATGTAGTCTTAGCAGTGAATTGTGATGCCTTTTTCTTAATCTCCTCATTGGAGAGGGTATAAAAAAGGGGGCAAGTGACAAGCAGAAGGAAGAAAGATAAGAAAGCAGTGTGAGGACAGTAGAAATAGGTGGCAGGAAAAATGAGACAAAGCTGCTCTCCCCTTTGTGATCTGCAGCAGCTCTCACCAATAGCCAAACTACAGGTTATCGTGCATCAGAACCTTTATTTGGGGAGCAGAGTCACACATTAGCTATGAGATATAAAGGCCACACCTCTCCTACCTATCTCCTCACCGAGGATGACCAATCATAGTCATATGTAGCTACCTTGCTGTTTATGACCATATAGTGCATAGTTACTAGAGGTATATCACAATAAATTGCAGTGGAATCTAAGACCCTATTTATAACCAACAAGATTCAACCACAGAGGAAATGGATGTAAAATCCTTTCTGCACTTGTGGGTATTGTGTAAGGAGCGAAAAATCACCACATTTCCAGCACACACAGCCACAGACAATAGGTCCATGATCACACAGAACCACCTGCAAAGGAACTGTTTCTTCAAGATCTCATGCAGTGGCTTTTGTTTGCTAAACAGGCTAAAACTGATCTTTCTGAGGTCTCTATAACAAGAATTAATTATAATATATCTGAAACTGTCAATCTTTCTGATGAGGGAAACAAGGGAAAGACCCAGTCACTCCTCAGTCATGGAAGAACCTGAAATGTTGGACTGATGGAGAAGGGAATTTGGGGGTCAAATTGAGGGCAGTGAGACTGTAGGACATGCAGGAACTATTAAAATATTCTGGACAGCACAAGCAAGGGAGATGGATTAAAAATATTCCTCTAAGACCTATTGTTGCCAATTAGCGATTCAGGGGAAAGACACTTTGGTACCAGTATGCACACCAAAAACCAAGTATGTTCGAACAAACGGTGAAGTAGGAAGTCTAGTAAGAGAAAGCTGCAAGAATGAAAAACTTAAAGAACTTCTTCTCTTCCATCCTTCCTTGAACTTTTCCACCAGGTGGGTTTTTGCAGCTCTTACATAAATATTTCCATGTAATATTGTAATAGCTTTAAATATTCACTTCTAGTAATTTATTTTGGACTCTGGATGATCTTAGAACTAATTCAAACTTCATTCTCACTACAAATTGAACCTCTCTAGTCCAGAACTCTCTGGTCTGGCAGCAGCTGTTGTCTGGCATGATTTCAGTTTGCTGGATGTTCACTTATCATGGGTGTGGCCAAGTTTCCTGTGGTCCCATAAAGTTTGTTTACCGCCACCAGTCCTGGATCTCAGTGTTCAGTGCTGTTATTTAGCTCTAATGTACCCCTAAATATCCTCTAACAGCCCAGTAAGCAGGGAAAGTGTTTGTAATACTACAAGACAATATTGACCACCCATGGTCTGGAAAATTCTCTGGTTCAGAGTTGGTCAGATCCCAAGGGTGCCAGACTAGAAAAGTTCAACCTGTACTTCTAAATAATTCTGATTTAGAATTTTTTAGATTCATAGTTCATTCCTACCAAGTTTCTATGTTGCAGTACCTTCCATGTTCTTAGTATTCATTTACATACAAGAAGTTGATTTTTTATGTAAATACTGACAATTCCTTGAGAGATGATCATTTTTAAAAGTTTGAACAAAATAAACCCTTTTATTGCAACTGCAATGGAAACACATTTTGCATAATTTGCTGTATTCAACCCATATTGCTCTGTATATTTAAATAATCTTATTAAACAAAGTGTAAAAAGCAGAATAAAATATTTAGATTAATGAACACATCAGTTTAAAACGTGATGTAAAGAGTTTTTTAAGCTCTTAGGCTCAACACATTGCCCCGTTGCTTATTTTAGTATAGTACCTAGCCCACTATAAATAATAATACAGTAGGTTAAAACTGGATTGTGCATGCATACACACACACACAGCAAAACTGGTATGACATCACTTTCCAGCATTTATGTGCAGAAGGAACATCATTTTCCAGACTACCTCTCCTCGTGCTTCTCCCCACTCTGCACTCTCTTCTGTTTATACTTTTAACCACAGAAATATGCAACTACTATTCATTTGGTTTATTTGTATAACATCCATGTTTGTGAACAGAACATTTATACAGTCTCAACTGAAGACACAATTTAGTCAGACTTTTCTATTGATGGCCTTATAGTGGCAGACTGGGAGTTAATTTAATTTAAATTAAAGAATATGCTCTTTCATCTTAATTAACTAACCTTTTCTGTAATCTAAGAGCGCAGCAGTTTCCAAAGTCAGAGTTTTAATAATATTTTACTGACATGAAAAGTAAACTCAATCAATGTGAAATTAGGTCAACTCCGTACAGCCAACTGTATTATGAATTAATATTGGTTATCCAAATTCTGAAGACTACTAAGTTTTTGCACTCGGGAAAATATTTTTTTCCATGAACACCAAAGACGTGGAAAGAGATCAAAATAGTGACTAAACCACATGGTTATGTTATAAATCACATATTTCTAGAAAACCACATTTCCATTGTTGGTCACACAGGAACTGCCAGTACAGTAAACAGGGAGTTGCTTGGTATTAAGCTGACAGGAAAAACAGGTGGCATGAGATGAGACGAGACCACTGTTCTAGATAGCTGACTATTAGTTTATACCATGGTTAAGATACTAAATCATAGCATAATACTGCAAACCAACATTACCAATGAAGTTTTGGGTTAAGTTCACATCAGGAGGCAGAAGCAAAGGAGAGGAGAGAAGATTGTAAAACACTTAATTTAAAATGCCACAAGAGAATCTTGCAAAGAGTTAAGACATGAAACAATGTTGAAAAGTTATTCAAATCCTATTCATGGAAGTGGTCATTAGAGTAAACTGCACATAAAAGACAACATTCCTACCACAACTTCCTAATGCACATCTCTGATTTTGGACAGAATCCTTCTGTGTTCCTACTCAGCATGTCTGAAGAGCAGTTGCAGGATGGTCCCACTGCAATTAGAATTACTCTTCTACTGTACAAAGACTGTTCAGTTATCAGCAAGTTCTTATCTTAAAAACAAACTCAAAAGTTGAAAAATGGTTTTTCCACTGGAGTCACTGGGACCAGAATTGCCATGCTCCATCCATAAAGCAAGACAGGCTACACCCATGGTCTGTTGATCCCTGTTCTTTCTCTCACTACTGCGTTCTCCACACACAGGGCCAGTCGGTAGTAGTTACTTTATGCACTGCTCCATATTATTTTTATGAGCCAGATACTGCTGAAAGATGCTTTGACTGAAATCCAGAGTAATTATTGTGGTCAACGGGTTAGTTAGGATTTACACCAACCTAACTGAAGGTAGAATTGAAACCTAACCTAATACTATTGTATAAAAGAGAATAAATGAGCTTTTTCTCCCTCACTGATAGTGGTGTAAATCCAGAGTATTGCCCTAGGCATCAGTGGCGTGCCAGGGTGGTAAAACCCATCTACCCTAACAGATGACTCAGGCCCCCAGGGGCTGCAATGGGAGCTCTGGCAGCAGGATGGGTCCCTTTTTATAGCCTACATTTAAAAAAATGCACTAAAGCGTGCAAAATGGCTTAACCTTTAGCAAGTTCACCTAAGGCAGCATTTCTACCCTGCTGATTCCACGCTAGTGCGATGCAGTTTAGCGCCCGGTGCACAAGCCCCGCTTGGCTGAATTTGCTTAGTCTCTTGCATTTAAAAAAAAAAACCAAACCAAAACAACCAACAACCTGGTTTTAATCTAAAAAAACCCGACCCTTCTCCACAGCAGAGCGGGGCCCCCACCCGCTCGGAGACATTCATCTGCTTTGCAAACAATCCAGCATGCGTTCCAGTCTGGGCTTCGCGGCCTTTTTTTTTTTTTTTTACCTTGAGACAAATGTTTTTTCCCCGCAGTTGAAAGCTGTCCAAAAAAACAGGACCACACACACACACACAGCCCCGCCGCGCTGCGCCGCTCGCGTCCCTCTGCGGCCGGGGAGGGCGCACGCACTCCCAAAATGGCGGAGGGGAGGGCTGCTCTCTGCACAGTGCTTCCTTTCATGCTGTTACAGCTGGGGGGGAGCCCCCCCCCCAGCATGGCTCTCCCCCTTCCCTGCGGACGGACAGACAGACAGACGCAGAGGCGGTACATCCCAGCGCCTTGTCCTCCCACGCACCCTCCTTAACCAGCCTCCTGTCCAAAGCCATCTAGCCAAACACGACCCGCGCACTCTTCGCCAGGGGCTTCCACGCCACTCACTAGGCAAAGCCACAATTTCCCCTCGCTGCAGGGGCTTGGGGGGGGCGGGGGAGTGTAGGTGCATAGACTTGCACCAGGCAGTCTCTGGAAATGAAAGAAGTGGGGTGGGATGGAGGACAGGAGGGGTCAAGGGAAGCGAAGCCACAAGCAGGGAAAGTCTTACCTTCCACCCAGAGCTCCTCCACGTTGGTTTCGAGATTAGCTGCCCTTAATCCTACAGCGAAAGCCCCAAATATCAAGAGGCCAACAACCAAAAACTTTCCGCAGTTTTTTTGAATGTAACAGCCCAGTTTAAATAATAGTCTCTGAAACTTCGCTCTTAGCCACAACGGTGCTTTTCTCCCAGTAGCCTTCCCCTGCAAGGCAAGAAAAGGTTAGCAGTTAAACGGCTGGAAACATCCCCGCACATCCAAATGCATATCCAGCATGCATATGCACCTTTTAGGGGCCGGAGGGCAAGCAGAACCCAAGTGTTTATCAATGCATACAAGCAAATAGCCTCATAGCAGAGTGTCTATTTCATTGGGAATAATAATACGACAGACTGTTGCCATGACCCTGCTGAGCAGTCGGATGAATTAAAATGTGTATTTGCTGGTAATTCTATTCATAAATCAGTGCACAGTTCTGCGATTACATCACTGCTTGAGATCCGTAAAACTGAGAGAGACAACTGATCTGAACAACGGATCACCGCCTTCTTGTAATGAAGTCACCGCTATCAATTCAATTTGCAAAAATTCTTTCATGCTAGCAAGATTTACAACACTAGGGGAGAAATAATCAATGCAGATGAATCGCAACAGGCATGCCAAGAAAAAAAATCCCCTTTCCTGTTCTTGTTACATATCTCTACAGGGCTGAACGGAGGTTGACGGTGGGGGGAACGCTACTGTGTGTAACAATTTGTTGCCGTGTCCCTGATTCCCAGCTCTCAGCACCAACTCTGTAGTAAATGAATGTTCCACGTGGTTAGCAATGCTGTAAGATCATAAGCTTAATAGTAATTCATTTCCATAGAGTTTGGAGACGCTGTGTGATCTGAATTAGGAAGTAGAGCAGCCATCTGTAAGCTACGACAATATTTGTGAACGGAAGAGGGCAGCCACATGGGTTTTTTTCCCTTTCCCCCTTACTGCAAAGCCTAAAAATCTGCTCCATGGAATAAAACGCTCTCTGAAGAAAGGCAATGGCTCGATGTTGTTTACTTTGAACATTTTTCCCTCGCCAAAGTAACAAGCGGGACTTGTGTGTGTGCGTGCGTGCACCAGAGGCAAGTTTCCAAGAAATCCCTGCACTTGGAGCATTTTAATATTAACAATAAACGCAACGATCCGGGGGAACTCAATCTGACTTGCACGGCAGATTTAAGGTGGCAATTTGTTTACAACTTTCATTTTTCCTCCAGCCGCTGGGGGTAAACATCACAAACTTTCTACTACGGGATTTCTCTCTTAAGGAAGTCGCGACTCCACACTTACTGGAAAACGTAACAAAGCAAAACTTCAGCCAAAAAAAAAAAAAAGGAAATCACTGAAACCTCTTTTCCCATTGCAGCCTGGCGTTAAAGAAGTTGAGCGGAACTACCGAGGGATGGAGAGAAGCGAAGGAAGCAGAGAAAGAGGCAAGAGGAGGAGAGAACAAGGACAGAGTAACTCCCCAGAGACAAAACACCGTGAAACTGCCCCGGGTAAGTTTAATGAGAGGATTCAAAAGCACAACCACACACCGGGGAAAGTGTGTACAAGAAGGGAGGAAAAGAGGGCAAAGGAGTCACACCTCACAGCGATTTATTGGTGGCTGCTTCCTTTCCATCTCCTCCTTCCACCCCTTGGAAAATACCCTCACCTCAGCCCTCCCCCGTCCCCCAAATCTGGAAAGAGAGTCATGCACCTTTGAAATCTGCTCCAAGGCAAAAGCTGCATCGCAGTAGCTTGGCCGCTGCAGATACTCCAGATCCAGCGCCGCGGCGCGCCTGTTCCCTCCGGTCAGTCTCCGCCTTCTGCTGCAGCTTCTCCCCGGCCGATCGAGGTCTCTGCAGCAGCCACCGCCACCAGCCCCGCCGCTGCTCTCCGGCTCCGAAACGTTAACAGCCGAGGCCATGTTGCCGCCGCCGGGACGGGGCTGCTGCCTCTGCTGCTGCTGTTGTTTTGGCGACCCACGGGCTGGGTCCTCTGTGATTCCCCGCAGCGCGCTGCTGCTTTGGGGCGATCCAGGGGAACGGGAGGCTGGCTGGGCTGCTGGCGCTTCTTTCCGCAGGCTGCTGGTGACAGACCACCTCTTCATACCGCGTTTGCTGCTGCTCCTCTGGCTGCTCCTGGCGAGTCAGACCCTGCGCCTTCCATTGCAACATTTCGCGATGATCCGGAGCTTTCTGGCGCTACCGCTTCCCACATCCAGTGCGTCTGCGAGTGGAGCGAGCGTGAGTGATTTGCCGTCCCCCCTTCGTTGCTCCGGCTTTAGTTTTCTACTGCTCCTTTTGCAGCTAAAAGAAACCAGCCTCTTCCCCCCCTGCCCCCTTTCCCCTTCTGTCTTCCTCCGTGAAAGCAAAGCAAGGGAGGGCTGGAGCTTTTCTTGCTCTCAGTGGTGCTGCTGCTGTTGGTCTGTCTCGGCGCGCTGTACCATTCTGTCTCAGGGCAGAGCTGTCTCTGACTCCCGGGGCTTTGGGGACTCCAGTCTCTCTCTCTCCCTGTACGTGTGTGTGTGTCTCTCTCTCCCTCTGTGTGTGTGCAGCAGCGAGCAGCAGCTCCTTGATTCAATAGATGAGATGAAGAAGAAAAAAAGAACTCTCTCCATTTGGATAAAGAGGAGGAGGAGTGAAACGGGGGGGGGGAGAGAGAAAGAGAGAGGAGAGAGAAAAAGACTTGAAATCCCGCCCCTGGGGCTGTCAGATGGCTTGGGTTTCTGGGATGCGATTGGCTCAAGGAGGGCAGAAATTACTCAGCAAACATGACTATTATTAGCTGCTTAGCAACAGCTCACCAAAGTAGAGAGACCACCCAGGCAGGCAACCCTTGTGTGTGCATCTCCAGCTTCAGGGGGAGCCTTAAAGAGATCCAGCCTTCTTTGCATGCAATACTTCCATTAAGGAATGCCTTCCCCCTTTCTTGTTTCTTTTCTTTTCAAGAAAGCTTTTATTTTTTTAAGAGACGCTATTTTTTTACAGGCACACACACAGAATTTCCTTGCGACCAACATTCAAAAATATATTTTGCCTTTTTTTTAAAAAAGTACCACAGGATTTCTGAAGTTCCTTAAAAAGAAAATCCTTTTAGAGGCACCTTGGCCTCAATCTGCAACAAATACTGGGAGGTCCAAGTTGAATTCCCAGGCTTGCACAGATAATGACAGGGTGGTGGATACTGCGGTAGAAAGTGCCAGACTTCTCTTTTCTTTCTTAACTAAAGAGAAGACTTAGTTCCTTGCTATAAAATAACCACTTACAATAAGAAAAACACAACGGAAGCTTAACACTTAAATAAGGGAATTTAAACCGTGCAGTTTGTTTTAACTTAGTATTCACTCTTTCACTGAAATCCTAGGAAACTCAATTTAATACATTTTAATGTAAAATGAATAAAATGTAAAGCTGGCAACCGCTAACTGCTTTTTTACATTAAATGAATCGCTAGATTGTTTAATTTTTGGCACCCGCTTTCCACGTTTCTGTTCATTTAAAATCAGCCATTCATTGAGGTGTTTTTTTTAAAGTTATACACGTTATATGTACGATGCCAACTCTACAGAATATATAGGGTTCGATGGTGAACTCGCCGAAGACAATCTGGTTGTCTGTTAATTGTTTATACTAATAAACCTCGATGTTTTACTTTTAGCTAATGTCACTTAGATTGGTGACAGAGACAAAAATCTTGTATAGTCGTAGTAGTATTGAGTCATTGTTATGATGCACTAAAGGATCATCCCCTCTGAACTCGCACAGATTCAGGGCTTGTTCTTTTCACTCTTTACTCACGCAGACTTCCCACTGAAGTTAGTGGGAGCCCTGCCTGTGTAAAGAGGACAAGATCGAGCCTGAAAGGCTTAAAGCACTTTCCCCTTGCACAGACTACATTTAATTATAGTTGGTTCAACAACAGACTGTTTTCAGTGACTTCAGGCGTGAAAGTAGCGGGAGTTTGTTGTTTGACTGTGAAATGAGGAGTGTTGCTTTAAGGTGCACACGGTGTGTGTTCATTGAAAAAAAAAACCCCGTCTACTTTGAAAGAAAGGGGGAGGGGCGGGGAGGCGGGCCCCGATCTTTCACGTGATAGGCGGGCCCCGGGCGCGCATGGCTAGGCGTTCCTTCCCCTCCCGGGGCGGTGAGTATGGGCAGCCGCTGCTGTGCAGCCGTAGTACTCAGAGGCTGGAAGCGAATGCAAAAAGCAGGTACGAGGCTAAACTGTGACGAGCCAGTCAGGTCGGGGGCGGGAGCAGCTCTGTAAGGCGGGGAAGGGGAATCCGGGCTCTTCCCCTCGTTCTGAGCTGCTGCTGCTGCACCGAGACATGCCAGGCAAGCCATAGTACATTCCTAAAGGAGGTCTCCCCCTTTACGTTAGCCAATACCATGCCGGGCTGGTTGCTACCGGCCAATAGCGAGAGGGAAAGGAGACTTTTCCATTCAAGTCTGCACAACATCGTGGGGATAGTCACGGACTGCCGGCGGAGACAGACCCCATTGAGTTATGCGCACAGCTCGCACATCGGGGACCAACGGGGGGTTCTCCTACGCGGCAGAAACTTTACCCCGGGGCTTCCGCTCGTGGGAGTCTTGCCTGCCGCACAGATGTTAGCAGGGATGGGGTGATGCCCCTGCAAAATATATGCCAGTTTTCTAAAGAAGAATTCACCAAGCACACAGCGGGGACGGTACAGTATTTTACATAGTGCAGGGGAGATCTAAGTGGAAAACGCGTTAAGTGTAACCGCCTGCGAGATATAAATAGAGAAGGGGAGGGTAAGGAGGAGAACCATGTTTGGTGGAAGAAACACAAACAAGTGAACAAAACAAAAGCAATAGAGCTAAATAACGTGGCAACCGGATTGGGTAGACACCTAACTCAATTATAAACCCAAGGACATGGGCAGCGTATGGAAAACCCGTTATTCTAGTGAATGTAGGTAGTTGTAATAAAGTTAAGTCATCGCAGTTAGTTGATCAGAGATCCAAAGTCCTAAGAGTCATTTGGTGATATCACCGACATTTTTTTTCACAACTTTTACTACTCTGTTGTTGGCCTCAGGTCTGGAGGTGCTTAGAACTTTTAAAAATGCGACCACGACTATCTTATCTTACACACTGGCTTGTTTGTACATCCCCAGCTTCACAGGGGGCAGGAACGCATAAACTAAAAACAACCCTTTTCAGATGGAAACTGATATCTCCATTATGTAGTAGATGAAACTGTTGTTCCATAGTTACTGATTGAGAACGTTAACTGCTCCCCATCTAATTAGAAATCGATAATGTTGCTATCATTCAAGCCTCTAGTTTTAATCGGGAGTGGGGGAGAAACGTTGGCATGCAAGCATTTTAGCTTAGTTTCACTTTAATTTTAACCCAGTTGAACGTCATTCTTTAACGTTTAAATACCTCAAATCCTCAGGTTTCCTCCTGTGTGATAGGCTAACTTTTCAGCATTTCACACAATAGCTCCATGCTCATAAATTCTTGCTACTGGTTCCAAAACTCAATTTGAAGACTCAGATTTAACAAGCACTATCTTAATCTCCCCTCTCTCCCTGTGGTCTGTTTTTTTCATACACAGGAGATGAATTACTGCAGGGATCTAATTGGCCTTGTTTCTGCAATTTTTTTTAAAGGAAGAAGTGTCAGTGTAAAAAGTCTGTCTCAACTTGGGTGGTCGGAGAAGTGGCTGCCCCCAATTTGCCTCATTGCTGATGCATGCGAGTGCTACATTCCCAGCGATAATGTTGTTCCTAATCAATCTGCCCTTATTTACATTTGTAAGCATTGTTGGCTTTAATATGCATGCCCTGTGCATGTAACTGTGGCTCGACACCAGTTTTTTTTTTATTTCCACAAATCACAAGGATCCCACAGATTTCATATAGAGCTGTCTTTAGGGATGAAGGCCTGCCTGCTAAGGAGGCTGGTAGGGAGGCACTTCTTGCCTGAAATCCTTTACACCTTGCCTTTCCCTGTGTATGTTCACTGCAAACTTGTGTGGCAAAACCTCAGGAATTTGGACAAACACTCATAACCTCCATCTGGACGGTCTTAGGATGCTCTACATTTTATATAATCTTCTGTTCAAAAAGCTGAATTTTTCAGTACAAATTCGAAGAAGTCAGAGCTTCACATTTCCCCAAATAAAGTGAGCATCAGCTCTAATATGTGTTAATAATGGCTAGGAGATAAATTAAATCGATTTTTGTGAGTTTTCCAGCTTTTCAACCTCTTGTGGGCCACACCATAAAGAACACTGCACTCACTGTAGCATCCGGTTACATTTACACAGAAACGACACTGAAATAAAACACCTGCAGTACAGATTGTTTGTTCGGATGTTATGAGACAGCGGAGCATTGGACTGCGGCAGAATAAAACCGACTTGTAATAAACTAAATTGCCTTTGGTTTTGTAGATTTTATTGGGTTTTGCCTCTCAGACACAATCGTGCTAGACTGGAGGTCTGTTTCTGGTCTGAAATCTCCTGTGATAGGCTGGCTGCTGCCAAGAATCAGACCACATTTTACATCACAGAGCCTATATTTTAATTTTCATCTGATCACTCCCTCCCTTTAAATAAACTCTTCGTTATCACAACTTCTACATCTATCTATTTGTTTTTACAGGCGAGTGGCTGAAACATGCAGGGAACGACATTCTGTAGGGAGACATTCTAAAAAAGTGCTCAGGGCTTGGGAAAGGACCAGGCAGCATGAATCAAACACTGTTCTTCCCCCCAACCCCACCCCCACCCCTTCCTCAGGACTGCAAGAAAAGGAACTGCTCGAGCCAACTTGTCAAAACAATGCGGCTAATTACCCCTGATCTCCTTTAATGGAAAGCTGCTCCGCACGCCACAAAGAGCAAATGAGGGATCTACAGCATAAGCCCAGGAGCGCAGGCATTCCATCCGTACAGAGCTGCGGGGTAATGTGCCACCAGAATCCCACAAACCTGTGCAGTGAAGCAGGGTGAGCAGCCCTGGAAGCTGGGAACCACACCAGCATTTGTAGGGTAGCAACAGTTCTCTGGCTCTAAAGTCTGGAGGCGAGCCCAACCCTTGCCATCCTCTCTGCTGAAGGCTTTTTAAGCTTTATAAACCCGAATAGTTTTCAAAACGGATTCTTTTTCTGGCAAAATGTCCCGTCTCTTGCATTACTTTAATGGGCACAGAAATGGGAAGTTACAGTGAAGAGCGTGTAGCCATTCTGGACAACATCATGGCTCTGTAACTATATCTTCCAGGCTTTTGCATTCGGCAGAAGGCAGGGCCATTCATTTTCATGATCTCTGCCATCGGGTCTTGCAGGAAAAAAGCTGAGCTACACGATCCCTTTGACCCACTGCTGGAGCAACAAATTTATTAGAGATATAGGCGTGAGAAATGAAAAGGAAGTAAAACAATTCAGGCTCATTGTGTGTCTTTCTTTCATACTGCTAATCCGGTTTACACATCACGCCTACATGTCTCAATAGGGCTTTATACACTGTGGCAAAGGCAAAAGAAAATAAAAGGTGTGTGTGTGAGAGAGAGCGAGAGAGGAAGAGAGAGAGAAATAAAGATAAAACGGGGAAACCAAGACATTTTAATTCAGAGTGGGCTGCCTTGTCAGTTTTCCATCTACCGGCTCTGGAAAGCAAATAGATTTTTAAAGGACCCTCCCCCAAATGCTGACTCCTGTTCAGATATATTGTCAGATTATAATCTAGCTACACAATGACTCTAATAGCCCTAACCAGAAATTAGATACACCTATCAGACTGGTGTTGAAATGATGTGAAAGACCTCCGATCTAGAACTGGTAAATGCTGTTAGACTGGAGGGTGGTAGATATCCACATTAGCTTCAAGTTTTAATTTGTCATTTTTCTACAACGCCACACATTTTGCAGCCCATTTTCCAGAAATGGGACTATATTCTGCAGTGCACTCTCGGGTACAGTCTTCTACTGATTCAGTGTATTTAGAACATAGGTATATTATTGAATATACCAGGTGATGTAAAACCTGGATATGCTATAATGAACTGTTCGTTTTGAATGCTATCCTTGATTACTATCACTGTCTTATGTCAGTTACAACCTGGCACACGTAGCCACAAGGAGTATATGTTATACTGGCATCAGCGATTGGGTCAATTTTATTGACGCTAGAGCTATCTTATAACCTTGTTGTTGCTTTTTTGATATATATACACACACACGACACATAACTGGTTCCAACACTGTAGTCATAGGGGCAGACAGTCCCTGCTGTATAGTCCTACTTTTCAGCATTTTGTGAATTGGTTACGAACATTTATTCTGAACTGTAAGGATAAAATACAAAGTCTCATGGCTATAAGTATTTTAAAAGGATCTACTTTGCCTTGATTAAGTAAAAGAAATGCAAACTACCAGAGGGTGTTCTTTTGGCCACAGATGTTGTGTTGTTCAACAAAGATTGGCTTCCTAGTTTACAATGCAAGTTTGCATTCTTTGGGGGCAGGCTGTTTCAGTAACAAAATGTGAAAATATGCAAGAGGCTGAGATTTGAACTGACAGATTATGCCACTACAGGAGTGACTTTCCAAAAGTGCTTTTAGTACGCATCTTTACTTCAAAGGAGTAGCAAGATTAATACACAACAAATGGCTTCCTGATTCCACAGAATAGACCTGACATCACAAAAGCTCAAAAATGTTGATGTGTGCTCTGAATGTATATCAGGAGTAAAGACCTGGAACGAGTCCACTAACAAGATACGACTTAAATTCCCCCCACACCTGCAAAATACATTCAGTGTCTCAACTTCGCCCTTTCTGCAGTTCCACTCTCAGTCCTCGCCCAGTCAAGACTCCCATTGGCTTTCCCCTGGCCATGAAGCACAGGATCTGGACTTATGAGCTGCATTCACTAGGCACCACATTAGGTGAGAGCCTCACTAGCTAGGATCTCCTTGTTTCTCGTATGTTTGACACTAGACCTTTAAGGACATTTGATCTGAGCATATGACAAGACTGTAGAGACATATTAATTTATAGAAAAGCTCTTTTATTCAAACGTGGTGCCCAGCAATTATCAGTCACAGAAGGAAAAGAATCTGCCCCTCGCCTGGATTCAGGAGCCCAGAGGGGACTGATAAACAGAAGCCAGGGTGGCGACCCTTCCAAGCGTGAAAATGGGATCCGAGAGTCCCCCCTCCTCCCC